AGAGAGACAAAGAAAGAAGGACAGAGTGGGAGAGAGGGAGAGGGAGAGAGTATGAGAGAGAGAAAGAGAGAGTGTGAGTGAGAGAGTATGAGAGAGAGATTTTGTGAGAAAGAGTATGTGAAAAAAAAAGTGTGAGAAAGAGAGTGTGAGAGATAGGAAGTGTGACAAAGAGAGAGTGTGAGAGAGGGAGGGAGAGAGAGAGAGAGGGAGAGAGAGAAGGGGGGAAGTGAGAGGAGGAGGGAGAGAGTGAGAGTGTGAGTGAGAGAGAGAGTGTAAGAGAGAGGAGGGTGTGAGAGAGATAGAGTGAGAGAGAGAGAGAGAGAGAGAGAGAGAGAGAGAGAGAGAGAGAGAGAGAGAGAGAGAGAGAGAGAGAGAGAGAGAGAGAGAGAGAGAGAGAGAGGGTGAGAGAGAGAGAGGGAGAGAGAGAGAGAGAGAGAGAGAGAGAGAGAGAGAGAGAGAGAGAGAGAGAGAGAGAGAGAGAGAGAGAGAGAGAGAGAGAGAGAGAGAGAGAGAGAGTGAGAAAGAAAGAGAGAGAGAGTATGAGAGAGAGAGGGAGAGAGTATGAGAGAGAGATTTTGTGAGAGAGAGTGTGTGAGAGAAAGAGTATGGGAGAGAGATTGTGAGAAATAGGAAGTGTGACAAAGAGAGAGTGTGAGAGAGGGAAAATGTGAGTGAGAGAGATTGTAAAAGAGAAGAGTGTGAGAGAGAGGAGAGTGTGAGAGAGAGAGAGTGTGAGGAGGAAAGAGTGCGACAGAGAGTATGTGTGAGAGAGAGGGAGAGAGAAAGAGAGAAAGAGAGGGAGGAAGGGAGGGAGAGATAAAAAAAACAGTGTAATAAAAAATAAGGGTTCCCATTTTAAAAACGCATGTCAATTTCCAAATGATCTTGAAGGTCATGGCCAATGCCAAATTCATGGTCACCATCAAATCCGTCACTCGATTTTCTACAACTTTTGTCTTTAAAGTTTTTCATGAAAACTTGATCCTGCAAAGTTATCCTGGGGGTCCGGCATTTTTAAAACACTCTGTATATACACATGTATACCAAAATTCACTAACGTCGGTAACAGATGATAACGTTCCCTACTTTTTGACTATCAACCCTATCATTTCTTTTTCACTCACTCGCTCATCCCCCTCCCTCTCTGCCTCTCACCCTCCCTTCCCCTTTTTCTCACACTCTCCCTCACACTCTCCTCTCTCTCTCCCTCCCTCCCTCCCTCCCTCCCTCCCTCCCTCCCTCCCTCCCTCCCTCCCTCCCTCCCTCCCTCCTCCCCTCTCTATCACATTCTCTCCCTCATACTCTCCTTTTTCTCTAACCCTCCTTCGCCTACTCTCACCCGCTGTCCCCAAACCTCTCCCCCTCCCACTCTCTCACCTTCTCTCTCTCTCTCTCCCTCTCTCTCTCTCACACTCTCTCCCTCACTCTCTCTCACACTCTCTTCCTCCCTCTCCCTCCCTCTCTCTCTTTCTCTGTCCCTCTCTGTCTCTTTTATTTATGCGCGCGCCATTCTAGCTGATTCATATACAGTTTAGAATAAATATTATAAATCATAAAAATAATCCCTGTAGTGTAATATAAGTATAATATCCGACTCCAACATACGATGTATTAGGCGTATATAGTTTGAAATTTAGAGAGGGGGAGAAGGAGAGAGTATGAAAAAGAGAATGAAAATAAAATGAAACGATATATAAGCATCCGGATCATGTAAAATCTAACGTACTATTTTTTTTTTTAAACTGTTATTGAACTTATTTTAAATTTATAAATCCTTATAAAAATTTCACAGCTCAGCATTATATAATATATCCCTCTAAATCTTCCGAAGCATCATTTCTGTGGAATATTATTCATTGCATAAATTATTCTGTATTATGTTATACCGTATATACCAACAAGTCGAAGAATCGGAGAAACAGTAGCAAAAAGCATATTTCGGAGAATAAGAAAATATTGGCAGCGTCGCATTCACATTCATATAAGATCTATGTGTAGAAAAGAATAATTGGCAACGCAGCACACACACGTTTGTCCAAAGTCTGTGAGAAAATATATATATGAAAAAATACGAAAAGAAGACAGCGCGACATGTCGCTGCTCACTGAACATCTTGACAATCGCTTCACCTCGCATATATATATATACATACATATAAATTATAAATTAAATTATATATATATAGCTAATTTAATTTAAGACATTACATGTGAGGTTGTGATTGGTGTGTACGACATACGTGTGGAATATAACGTCTTCCGACTGATTGTGAATGCAACTTAATGAGCGTGCGATCGAGGGAACGAAGATACGAGAGAGTTTCAAACACTAATCTTTTTATTAGCTGTACAGATTGAAAAATCCTTTTGCACAATGAAAGTACTTATAATAACGAAGGCCGGAAGACAAAGTTTTATGTAAAATTCAATGAAAAATTTTACAATTACAGTTTCCTTGTCATAACATTACTCCACGCATGAAACAGACAAGGATAGTACGATTGTGTCTGCCTGCAGCTCCATCGATCATGATTATGCGGAACTAATCTACTGTTCTGTTTTATCCAAAAATGTAGCTAACACAATTCCGTATGCATTACATTTTTCTCAAACACTATTTTTTTTACACTGACTTCTAAGCTCATTTCTGTTACTTCAGTTTTATTCTTTCATATCATAGCTAGTACAGAAGCAAAAGCTTTTGCATGGATAAACTGCAGAACTTTTATAATTAATAAGTAAAGTTACGAGCTGACACAAAACATGATAACGAAACTGTAATTTTGAAATTTTTCATTGAATTTTAGATAAAACTTTGTGTTCCGTACTTCGTTATTATAAGTACTTTCGCTGTACAAAAGGATTTTTCAATCTGTATAGCTAATAAAAAGAATAGTGTTTGAGAAAATTGAGTCAATTTGTCGGTAAAACAGACGACTCCAGGATCCCCTTAAATACTTTAACCTTCGATATCTCCTAAACGGTTAAAGATACAGGAACGAGCCTTTGTCTCCTAAACGTTTCAAGGTAATGGAACAGGCTTTTACCACAATATAGTCCTATATCTATCCTATTCTCACTATAAAGCTCGACTTTCAATTTCCAATAGAAACGGAGATGTTAACAATGTGCGAGCCGTGCTTGTCAAGTACGCTATTATGGTTGTAGCACGGACATAAACCGCCTGAAAATGGATGTAGTACGGACTGCCAGTACATGTAGGTTTTACCGCCGAAACCTAAAAGATGTAGCATCGTTCCCCTTCAAAAGTTGAGAGTTCCCCTCTCAAAATGGATGCAGATGGCGCCCTTTCACAGTGCGGAAAGTCGGTGTCGCCGAAAACGCCGTGTTGGCCGCTTTCATGTTCCTCTCTGGTTAAAGTGAGACAAATATGTATTTGGTCTGTTCTTTTCAGCTGCACTACTGAACTGGTGCAATAAGTTAAGCTAAGACTCCATGCATGCGGTGAGCTCCGGCAAACGGCTGCGGTGACCAATCAGGAGACAGACGCATGCCGGAGCTTGCCGCAACCGGACTTGCGCCTCCCTCCTGATTGGTCACCGCAACCGTTTGCCGCAATTCACCGCATGCATGGAGTCTTAGCTTAAAAGTGAGAAAAAATATAGTTGTCTCATTCTAATTTATTGCACTAGTTCCGCAGTGCAGCTGAAAAGAACAGACCACTTGTCTCACTCGAACTTTATTGCACTAGTGCAGCGGTGCAGAGGAAAAGAACAGATCAATAGTCAAAGGACTAACCATACTGTTGTATGTAAGCATGATAGGAAATAACCTCGAAACCAGGTAATGTTGTCTAACATATTCATAATTTGGTTCAGTCATATGTTACAACGCTAAATTTAAATTCTGCTGGAATTATGTCGTAGATTAATTTTGTCTAATGATAATATGTGAAGATATAATTGAGAAGATACTATTTTCAATAATATAATAAATTTGAAATATTAAAATATTGGTTAAATATCAATTCTTCTCTCTCAACAGTTAGATTTGCTTTAATTTAAAACAAATGTACAAGTTAATTTCTATTATTCACTGAATTACTTCTCATTAATCAAATTTATTATTTATTTCAGATATGTGTGCAATTACTTAGTATTTGTATTTAGTTGTAGAGTTGAAGTCTGAATTGGCATTTAGTTGCATTGTGAAATGTCATTGAGAATATAATTTTGAAGTTCAGTGAAATTAATTTTTCCCAACTACAACTTTAAAGTTTTAGATAAGAAACATGCGGCGAGCACGTATTAAGGCTTTGGCTACTGTGCCAATTCGGAAAAAGGTTGTGGAAAATCCAGTGTCATCTACAGAAAATACTACAGATAATATACCTGATAATGAACATATAGAGCAAGACACATCTACTTCTGTTATACCAGAGCAAAAAAGTAGTATACAGGGCAGTGGTATGAGTGCAAGTGAATCTGAAGATGAACATGCCAAGAGAGCAGCATCTGTTGTCCCAACTCGTATACGAAATGATTCCATTTGTTCCGTACAAAGCAACAGGGAAAATAACATCAATGATGTGTATGTATTCATTTGTTATTCATAGATTTACAAAATTTTATATTTGTATTTGTTTGCGACTCCGCTCACAACTGAGCGGAGATACGCGGATGCCGGAACACCCTTATCAGAAGGATCGGAGTCAAGGATGTTACTAGACTCAGGTCTCGTACGGCCTATTCGGGTCGTAAATCCGAGCCGAGAAACCGGAGAAACATTCGTGACAGACACGTCCACGAGCGTTAGAATGAAACGACCTCCGTCGTTTCGAATGGCCTGCCCTTTCAGACCAAACGGTCAGCAAGCTGCCACGTTCCTGAGAAGCGTGGAGATGCACAAGAGAACGTGCTGAGCTCGTGTCGCGCGAAAGGCGACTCAGTTGCTTCGGGGTAACTAACCAAGGCCTTGAAGGCGCTTGGACAGAGAGCTCAGAGTTCTCGAAGAAGCGACCACGTCGCTTTAGAACGCACCAAGATCCTAGACGGATACTTGGCAAGAGAGAGTTCGCAAATCTCTCAAGGAGACGGCGACGCCGTTCCTAACAGCCGAGGTTTTCGACGGACGCTCGGACAGAGAGAGAGTTAACTCACTCCACACGGAGGCGATCAGAAGTTCGCTCCTGAATCGTGGCAACGGGCGAATTCAAGGCTTAAGTGGATTCTCACCATAAAGCTTCAACCCAGCAGGGTATATTAGCACCGCAGTCAACTCAGCAGAGTGTAGAGTGCGTTGGTTTGAATCTCGACTGTGCACGAAACTGCTCTAAGAACGCCTAGAGAGAACGTCGGTAAAGACGGGCGCTACAAGTCGCACAGACCAGACACCAGGGATTACCACAATCGGCGTTGGGCCATGCGAAGGCGTCGCGCCGGCCGTTGCGCTGGGTGATATACCCGGCCGGCGATTCTTGCCCAGAGTCGGGTGGCGGAGTCGGGTGGCTCGCCATGTAGCGGTCACGGCTGGAGCTACTTGTCAGGTGCGGGCGGCCGGCGGGACGGCCGCGCACTTGCCTGCGAGACAGTGCTGTCAGGTGCAATATATTGCAACGCTACAGCGCATGTGTGAGATGACGTAGAGCTCTATGCCAATGACGGCAATAAAGCGCATCGCAAGGTCCATGAAGGAGCCCGCGTTATCCGATCAGCTGTCTTCCAGGCTCCGGTGTAATTTTCCCGTGCTTCTTACGCGAGTGCCTTATCTTAGATTATATTGTTCAGTGAATACTAAATATCAGTTATATTAACATTATAATTCCAGTGGGTACTAAGTAACAATTACGTTACATTAACATTATAATTTTTCACTCAACTATGTAACTGTTACATAATATTTGTATTAGACTCATATTAGACTATAGATTGAGAATTACTATCAGATCAATTAAAATAACCACGATTTAGATTATCTAATTTACTAAATACTCGATTGCAATTCTCAATGCATAGTATAATATGGGCGCTATAATACCTTAAAAAAGATACGATACTGAGACTTTCACTCAACAGGGAGTTCTACGTCATCTCATGCATGCGCTGTAGCATCGCAATATATTGCATCTGACAACACTGCTGCGAGATGCCGGGCACCTCGCCGACTGCGAGGTGCCGGGCATCTCGCCGACTGCGAGAACGACGGCGCTGGGAACCCAGACCGCCCGCCACGCAGAATCGGCCGCATTCCCGAATAGTATTAAAACTAACCACATACTCAATCTATTTACTGTACTTCCTATTTGATAGGCTTTGATGTGACTTCTCCTTGATAATTTGCCAATCTTTGTACATATATTTCATATTTGTCATAAATTTTAGTGCAAAAGTAAAGGTAACTCCAAGAAAACGCATCATGGTTTCGGAATCGGCAAGAAAACTGGCTGAAGCTAGAAGGGAATTTCTACTAAAACATGAAAATAAAACACCTGATAGAAGTCAATTGAAAATGTACGATTTAATCTATTATAATCCTGTGACGAATCCTATGAAGAAGTCAAAAACATCTACTGTTGTACCAAGACAGATAACTACAACACCGTGAGTATATTAAATTATAGTAATAAAGTGTGTAAAGACCTGCATATAAAATTTTTTAAAATATAATTTATTCTTTTCTCAGATCAGAAGAGGTTTTAAAAGAAGAAGAGGAGGATAATCCTTTGGCAATGCCTGCGCCACAGGTAAAAGTTGGTCCAGATGGTCAATTGATATTAGACGAACAAAGTATTGTGATAGAACAGACAGGTGTGAAAAAGCATAGAGAAATATTGTCACAAGAAGCCATCGTAGAAGACGATGACTACGGAGGTGGATTTTATAAAAAGCGTCAAAAGAGTAAAGAATGGCCAAAATGGGAAACATTTAAATTCTACAAAGCATTAAATGTAGTGGGTACGGATTTCTTATTGATGCAGACTCTATTCCCAAATCGGACAAGACAAGAAATTAAACAAAAATATAAGAAAGAAGAAAGAGTTAACCGTGCTTTAGTGGAGAAGACTCTGAAATATCATCAAGAATTTGATACTGAAAGGCTGGAAGAACAATTAGGTATCATTTTAATTCAGACCTTAACTCTGGAATTTCTTTAGTTTTTATTTAACTTTATTTTGTTTCCAGCATCATTACAAGAATTGGAAAATGTTCAAGCAGATGCAAATAAGAAAACATCAGAGAAAGATAAGAATGAACAACACTTGAGCAGGAGTGCTAAAAAACGCAGACATCGTGAGTATATGATTTTTATTTTAATACTTTCGTTTAATTTAGTTATTTTTCTATTAAATATGTTCTATGTGTAACATTTATTTGTAACATCTGTTTACATAAACGAATAATGTATAATAAATAATTTTAGGACTTGTAGCGACTAGTATCGCGCAATGCGAAGCAACATCTACTAACAATCAAGAGAACAAAACAATAGATAATGAAACTAATGCAAATGACACTGCAAATAGCGGTCAACATTCACAAACGAGAAGAGGAAATAACAAACGAAAGTCAAAAAAGTCTGTAAATGACAGCTTTGATGATAGCAGTTGCTTAAGTTCTAACAGTGATTCGGACAGTGACACGGAGATTTACCGAGTTAGACCAACTAGATCCGGTAGACAGCCGAAGCCAAAGAAATTACGAGCGCGAAGCATTAACACTCTTGATAATAACATTGAAAATGAATCGTTAGTAAACACCGAAACTACATTGTCGCAAGAAACTCCAGCGTCGCAGGAAGTTCAGAAGGATCTATCATCTATGCCATCCAAGGATAGCGAAGACACTGCAACATCTGAAAATGTCGCAACTGTCATACCGGATATCAATCAAATAGAACCAGGATCCTTAGTGATTTTAACGAAGGAATCCGTAGAAGAACCAGGAGAAACTATTTTACAAGTTTATATGGTTAGTTCGAACGTTGACAAAAAGAATGTTGACGACGAAACAGTCAAGTCTGATATGACGCCTGTGACTCCACCGTCGGAGCTATTATCTACCGTAACTAATAATAAACTAAATAATAAAGTAGGTGCGGAGGATGCCGAAATAATAAATGTGGATGATTGTGAATAACGATTTCTTGCGCAATTTAAGCATAATAAAATTTTAGCACGTATATATAGCTATATGAGTAGCTACATGCTACACAGTTAAAGTATGAAACATATGCATGAAGAGTAAGTTAAAATAATTTGATTGCAATATGAATAAGGACTTTTGTACCTTCTTAACTATATATGTAAGTTATATTTTCTATTAGTTGTATGCGAATTTGTACAATCCTTTGTAATATATTGTAATATTTGCATATTGTTGCATATATATGAGTAACATTCTTTATCGAAGAAAACGTTTATTTTCAGTAAGTAAGAAATCATGAATTGTTGTAATGGAAATTAATGACGAAAACGACTATTAACAAAATGCTGGCATAACTTATGTTTTATCAAACAACAAAATTATAGCTGAACTTTGTACTTTCTTTTATAACTTGTAAAAATGTTCAATTGATATATAAAATCACAATGTGCTACAAATTATTAGCATTGAGAATACTGCCATGACTGTATATATTTTCTAATAGCGCTGTCTTCACAATATAGTCCCATATTAACCCTATTCTCGGCATAAAGTTCTTCTCTCAATTCTCATTAGGAACGGAGATATGGACATTAAAATTTAAAAATTAATCTTTGATATCTCCTTAACGGCTCAAGAGATAAGGACGCGTTTTTGCCACAATTTAGTCCTGTATCAACCCTATTCTCACCATAAAGCTCGACTTTCAATTTCCAATAGAAACGGAGGTACAACAATGTGCGAGCCCGTGCTTGTCAACCAAGCTATTATGGTTGTAGGACGGACATAAACTGCCTGAAAATGGATGTAGCAGAGAGGAAGCTGAGAGCGGCCAACACGGCGTTTTGGGCGACACCGATTTTTCGCACTGGGAATGGGCACTATCTGCATCCATTTTGAGAGGGGAACTACGATGCTACATCCACTTTTAGGTCTCGACGGTAAAACCTGCATCTGGTGGCTGTCCGTGCTACATCCACTTTCAGGCGGTTTGTGTCCGTGCTACAACCATAATAGCGTACTTGACAAGCACGGTCTCGCGCATTATTATGCATTTGTAACATGAATTAACATGTTAACATGCACAAAAAAAATAAGAATTGAGATTGTATATGATTAATATCATGAAGATTATATACGATTTATATCGATATATAAATATATGATAATAAGATAATATTTTGTGTGTACCCAAAATTATTTTTCCAAAATATTTCAGCGTTACGTTAGTATTTATTTATACTCCGGCAGGCGTTTTTTAGCGCAGTTGTGTCCATGTGCATGTGTTGCATTGAAAGTGTGCGTGACGTACGCGTGCATATACGCACTCACACACACACACACACATACACACACACACACACACACACACACGTGTCATACGCAACAGATAGAATCTCAGGGTATATGCTTAAACATTTTCAATTGCCGTACGTTTCTGTGTAAGAATGTAGTCGGCACACACACACAGAGAAACTGCTCCCGTCTATCCGTCTGAAGTCCCGCCCTCCACTCGGCGTGTTTTGACGAGCCAAGCGAAAGAGAGAGAGGGAATGTGTTCGCTCCATCTCGCTCTGATTCGCAACGTTGCCGAGATTGTGCTTCCCGACACACGGTCGAGACTGACGTTTCACTCTCGGCGTGAATCCAACGAGATGATCAATAGCAATCGATTTCGACTAAACTCGTTGTGTCGATAGATTTGCATGACAAATTAACATTGCACTTAAAGATACGGCATAGCATTGAAGCGTTTGCAAGAAAGTCGCGATTGAAAATCACGAGTGCTCCATGAACCAAATGAAGGAGCGAGCTTCTCAAAGAGCGTGTGGCTTGGTGGAAGTACGCTGGACTCGCGGGGTTGAGGTCGGTGGTTCGCATCTCCTTGGCGGTCGGCGTTGTCCTTTTTCGCCAATCATTTTTTTTTCGTTTTTTAGGAAAATGCACGTGTTGCATACAACACACGGGCATCGCAAGCATTGCACGTTTCGTCGATGACACTTCCTCTGAGACCCCGCCCTCCGCTCGACTTGTTTCGACGAGCCAAGCAAAAGAGAGACAGAGAATGTGTTCGCTCCATCACCTCTGTGAAGATGGCCCTTCATTCTTCAAATTTGAAAAAAATTATTAGAGTTCTGAATGCCCCTCGCAGAGTTCTGGAGTTTGCAATCCTTTATAGAAAGAGTTCCGTCATTTAAAGTAGAGAAAATACCATTTTAAAAATCGGAGGGCCAACTTCACGACGCTCCTCATTATGTAAAAAATGACAATTTTTTTAGAGTTCTAGATAGATTTTTAAGTTCTATAGTTCTAGATAAGTTTTAAAAACAGTTCTGTTTAAAACAATAAGAAAAATTATATTTAAAATTCTCGAATTAGAAAACGAAAAATGGCAAGAACTCTACCAATTTTGGTTTTTAGCGCGTCGCGTGTTAATAATAATCTTTAGAACTCGTGAGGGGCTAACCAGAACTCTGAATAAAACATTGGATTTTCAAAAAAATTGATTGTTTATTAAACACGTAAAATTTTTTTTCGGAAATCCGATGTTTCATTCAGAGTTCTGGTTAGCCCTTCACGAGTTCTGAAGATTATTATTAACACTCGGAACGCTAAAACCAAAATTGAAAGAGTTGTCGCCGATTTTTGTCCCTCGAGTCGAATATTTCCATGTCCCTCGGATCGAAAGATTTTTTCGGAAATCCGACGTTCCATTCAGAGTTCGATAATTGAGTGTGGATCGCGAGGATAATTGAGTTGGATGTCGCGTATTTAACAGATTGGTTGAAGGGCCGGCGTCTCTATAGCAGAGAAGTCTGCTTCCTGGGCGCGCGGGACACAGAGCGGGTGATCCTACAGAAAAAATACTATAAAAATATGATAAATGGAGCACGTGGAGGATGAAGCACATTGCCCAAGTCTGCTAGCTTGGGCAATTATACTATTACTCCTACGTGCATATAGGTAAAATGCGTCGTGTTGCCCATCGTCGGGGGGGCATAATGTCCCCAGGCAGTATAATATATACTATAAAATTTATTCTATGCCCACTGTCGGAGGGGGCGAACTGTCCCCCGACAATAAACTATATAGAAATGGCGTCGGACCTATGCTTATAATAATACTGTATTTACCCCGGGGGGCTTCCCCCCGGGGAACATTTATTGTTTAAATAAGGTTATAGTTAAAGTTTCCCAACCTTTCTCCGTTGATATCTTATTTAAACATTTATTGTTTAAATAAAGTTTTATGTTGAAGTTTTCCAACATTTCTCCGTTGATATCTCCGCTTCTACTGGGAGTAGAGAGTCGTCCATGTAGTCCAAAATGTAGGGTTTTGAGAGGACTTTAATTTGGTCCAGACCGAGGCCTGTATCTCTAACCGTTTAGGAGATATCGAAGGTTAAAGTTTTCCAGCCTTCCTCCGTCGATATCCAGTCTTCATCCGTCGATATCTCCGCTTCTACTGGGAGTAGAGAGTCGTCCATGTAGTCCAAAATGTAGGGTTTTGAAAGGGCTTTAATTTGGTACCTGTCCGAAGCCTGTATCTCTAACCGTTTAGGAGATATCGAAGGTTAAAGATTTCCTACCTTTCCGTCGATATCCAGCCTTCATCCGTCGATATCTCCGCTTCTACTGGGAGTAGAGAGTCGTCCATGTAGTCCAAAATGTAGGGTTTTGAAAGGGCTTTAATTTGGTACCTGTCCGAAGCCTGTATCTCTAACCGTTTAGGAGATATCGAAGGTTAAAGATTTCCAACCTTTCTCCGTCGATATCTCCGCTTCTACTGGGAGTAGAGAGTCGTCCATGTAGTCCAAAATGTAGGGTTTTGAAAGGGCTTTAATTTGGTACCTGTCCGAAGCCTGTATCTCTAACCGTTTAGGAGATATCGAAGGTTAAAGTTTTCTAACCTTTCTCCGTCGATATCCAGCCTTCATTCGTCGATATCTCCGCTTCTATTGGGAGTAGAGGGTCGTCCATGTAGTCCAAAATGTAGGGTTTTGAAAGGGCTTTAATTTGGTACCTGTCCGAAGCCTGTATCTCTAACCGTTTAGGAGATATCGAAGGTTAAAGTTTTCTAACATTTCTCCGTCGATATCCAGCCTTCATCCGTCGATATCTCCGCTTCTATTGGGAGTAGAGGGTCGTCATTGTAGTCCAAAATGTAGGGTATTGAAAGGGCTTTAATTTGGTACCTGTCCGAAGCCTGTATCTCTAACCGTTTAGGAGATATCGAAGGTTAAAGTTTTCCAACCTTTCTCCGTCGATATCTCCGCTTCTACTGGGAGTAGAGAGTCGTCCATGTAGTCCAAAATGTAGGGTTTTGAAAGGGCTTTAATTTGGTACCTGTCCGAAGCCTGTATCTTTAACCGTTTAGGAGATATCGAAGGTTAAAGTTTTCCAACCTTTCTCCGTCGATATCTCCGCTTCTACTGGGAGTAGAGAGTTGTCCATGTAGTCCAAAATGTAGGGTTTTGAAAGGGCTTTAATTTGGTACCTGTCCGAAGCCTGTATCTCTAACCGTTTAGGAGATATCGAAGGTTAAAGTTTTCTAACCTTTCTCCGTCGATATCCAGCCTTCATTCGTCGATATCTCCGCTTCTATTGGGAGTAGAGGGTCGTCCATGTAGTCAAAAATGTAGGGTTTTGAAAGGGCTTTAATTTGGTACCTGTCCGAAGCCTGTATCTCTAACCGTTTAGGAGATATCGAAGGTTAAAGTTTTCTAACCTTTCTCCGTCGATATCCAGCCTTCATCCGTCGATATCTCCGCTTCTATTGGGAGTAGAGGGTCGTCATTGTAGTCCAAAATGTAGGGTTTTGAAAGGGCTTTAATTTGGTACCTGTCCGAAGCCTGTATCTCTAACCGTTTAGGAGATATCGAAGGTTAAAGTTTTCCAACCTTTCTCCGTCGATATCTCCCGCTTCTATTGGGAGTAAGGGTCGTCATTGTAGTCCAAAATGTAGGGTTTTGAAAGGGCTTTAATTTGGTACCTGTCCGAAGCCTGTATCTCTAACCGTTTAGGAGATATCGAAGGTTAAAGTTTTCCAACCTTTCTCCGTCGATATCTCCGCTTCTACTGGGAGTAGAGAGTCGTCCATGTAGTCCAAAATGAAGGGTTTTGAAAGGGCTTTAATTTGGTACCTGTCCGAAGCCTGTATCTCTAACCGTTTAGGAGATATCGAAGGTTAAATTTTCTAACCTTTTCCGTCGATATCCAGCCTTCATTCGTCGATATCTCCGCTTCTATTGGGAGTAGAGG